CGGTGGCCAGGTGCAGCTACAGCCGCGTCCGCGCGAGACCCTTACGCCCCAGCAGCTTCATGAGTGGTACGCTCAGTATGGGGGGTCTCGGAGTAGTGCTCGCTGCCCGTACGTCATTCGCACAGGTGATCGGGCTGGTCAGACATGCGGGACATCTGGCCACACACAGTCCCGCTGCTTTTCCTGTCTAAGCGACACCTGGCGTGCAGAGTTTGGCGATGCGGCTGAGCTCCCCCCCTGGCTAGAGCTGCTTAGGCAAGGCGTGGATGTCTTTGCGCTAGACTATGACGCTATCCTTACTGCCATGTATGCATTGACTGTTAGTGCTGAGGGTGACTATTACCTGTGTGTGCCGCCCGACCCAGGTATAGAGGCTGCTGCTCTAGGTGCTTGTGCGTTTGCTCTCTCTGGTACTGTGCCTACTGAGGCCTTGCACACCTTTACGCTTGACTCAGGTGCTTCCCGCTGTTTCTTTCGCAACAGTACCACAGTCACACCATTCCCTGCACCTGTTGCTGTCAGACTAGCTTGTTGTGCCAACACATTACAGTGGCACGGTCATCGCACTCCCATTCGGCCTACAAGCCTGCTCAGCTTCTGGAATTTTTTGGGGAGGTTTTTCAACATGTGTTCTTCAAACCCTCAAAGTTTCAGAGTTTTTTAAGCAGTTACCAAGGCGTGACAACATTTTATGTTTCAAGACTTATGGCGTCCCGGAAGTGTGTGTTACTCCTTTTTGGTAACACCCGAGTTCACCATTTCGGCTGCTGACTCGTCTACAAAGCTCTTATTGGTCTGAAATTCGGTCTGGCAATTCTATTCTTTGCTGTGCAGATTTTCACCAAGTTTCAGAACGATCCAACATGTGAGCATTGCGTGACAGCTGCCGAAATGCACTGTTCCGTAGTCATGGTGCACTGTTGGCAGCATTTCCCTTGCCACCCTTTCATTGTTGTCATGCCAATGGTGCAGGGACAGAGAATGAGACAAGAAGTACAGGTGGTCAAGTGGGACTCTACAGCCCTCCTTTTGAGAAGTGTGGTCTTCCTGGAACCAGCTTGCAAGAGGGTGCAAGTGGGAAGACAAGCTGACTCATGGTTGGCTTAACTCACAATTGGTTGCCTTGAGTACAGCTCTGAACATCCATGTGTGGTTGGCTTTGCTGACCTAGCTAGGACGTTTCCCATCCTTCTCTAGCCTTTCTCCCCTAGGACTCAACATTCTCTGAGTTCCCAGGATGACCCAACCCCTTATGAGTCCCCTAGGCAATGTTGTACTCACCTCTTCCTTGCATCAATGAGACTACACGTTTTTCAGCCGAGCTTACGTTTTCGTTCACTGCGTAGTGCACACACCTCTGATAATAGCAATTAATATACCGTTGGAAAGCAGACATGTAAGGCTAACAGCTGTCCAAGTTTCAGCCTCGTATGGTTTTGGAGCTGATCGTGACGGCGTTTTGAACAGAGGCAGTTTGAAGACGTCAGATTCTGCTTAGGGGGTTTCATGGGCATCCGCGACCTCTAAGTGGACTCTTGACTATAACATAGCTGACCCCTCAGGAGGCCCAGTTCTTGCCCGTTCCTCCTTTGTTCTCCTGTGTTCGGCGGTTCCGTCCGCTCACTCTCAGGTCTTCACCTCCCCTCGTTCTCTACGAACTTGGTGAGTACCGCTGCCCTTCAGGATGCGATGGTTGAAACCTTTACTCCTGGGGGTCAGCTTGTGGCGATCTGGACGTGTACACGGACGGGCCGTCACTTGGCCACGTTCACTCGTTGTACACACTGACTACTAAGCCTCCTCAGGTAGCTACGTCAGCGTCCGCGCCAGGTCAGCTTGCAGCCCCTTGCTCGTGTCGAGCCCAGCCGCACCAGACTCTCCTTTGGCACCACCGCCCTGGTCACCCCTCCCTGCCACGCCTCCGTGGCATGCACTCCCGTCTCCTTGTCTTCCCAGGTCTCTGCCAGCCCTCCCATGCTTGCCTGCCCCGCCCTGCCTTCCTTGCGTCGAGGGGTGGCAGCGCACCGCTCCCCACTCCTCGTTTCCCCCGACGACTGCTCCCCTGCAGACTCTCCACATGGACGTGTGGGGCCCAGCCCGCGTCCGTGGAAAGGGCCGCGAGCGTTACCCTCTGCTGGTTGTTGACAACTACTCGCGTTACACCACGGTCTTCCCCTTGCGCAACAAGGGGAGGTCCCTCATGTTTTGATCCCTTGGACCCGTGCTGTACGTCTCGAGCCCAGTGAGCGTTTCGACTCGGACTTTCCTGTTGTGTGCACTCTGACAGAGGTGGTGAGTTCTCCTCCAACCTCTTGCGGGACTTTTGTCATGGGGAGGGCATTCGCCAGACGTTCACGCTTCCGGCCTCTCCGTAGCAGAATGAGGTTGCTGAGCGCCGCATTGGCTTAGTCATGGAGGTCGCTCGTACCTCCGTGATCCATGCGGCTGCCCCCCATTTTCTGTGGCCGTTTGCGGTCCGGTACGCTGCGCATCAGCTCAGCCTCTGGCCCCGTGTCTCCTTGCCAAAGACCTCCCCGACACTGCGTTGGACGGGAGAGGTTGGCGATGCGTCGGTGTTCGGGGTCTGGGGATCTCGTGCCTCTGTCCACGATACCTCCGTGGACAATCTCTCCTCCTGCGCCATTCCCTGCGTCTTCCTTGTTTTTTCCCCTTACGCGCCTGGCTGGCAGTTTTACCACCCCACCTCGCGCCGTATTGTGCCCTCTCAGGACGTCACGTTTGATGAGTCGGTTCCCTTTTACCGTCTCTTCCACTACCGCACAGCCCCTCTCCCCCCCCCGCCGCTCTTCCTCGCACCAGGTCCTCCTCCGGTAGATCCCCTCCCCCCTCAGGGTCCTGCTCCCTCAGGTGTGTCCCAGGTAGACCCTGTCGAGCCTGTCGAGGTAGCTGTCGACTCTGGTGCTGCGAGGGGTGCTGCGTCTAGGGGTGCTGAGCCTGAGCGTGCGGAGCCTGGAGGTACTGAGTCTGAGCGTGTAGAGCCTGGGGGTGCTAAGCGCGAGCTTGCGGAGCCTGGGGGTGCTGAGCCTGAGTGTGCGGAGCCTAGGGGTGCCGAGCCTAGGGTTGCTGAGTCTGAGGGTGCGGAGCCTGGGGGTGCTGAGCCTAAGCGTGCGGAGGCCGGGAGTGCTGGGCCTACGGGTGCCACGCCTGAGCGTTTTGAGCCTGTCGGTACTTTGTCTGCTGGTCGTCCTACGGGTGCTTCGTTGCAGCGGGAGCCTCTCTCTCCACCGCAGCCGCGCGAGTGGTTTTCTCGGCGCTGGAGCCTTCAGAGTGGCGTTACTGGAGCTGGGAGGCCTGCCGCTGGGGGCCTTGAAGCTGGAGGTACTGGAGCTGCTTGTCTCGGAGGTGCTCGTACTGGAGGAACTGGAGCTGCTGGGGCCGGTGGTACTGCAGGCACTGGAGCTGCTAGTTCTGGCGGTGCTGGAGGTCCTACGGGTGTCCTTTCACGGCGGGAGCGTCTCTCTCCACCGCAGCTGCGCGAATGGTTTGCTCGGCGCTGGAGCCTTTGGAGTGGCGCTTCTGGAGCGGGGGGGCCTGCTGCTGGAGGCCCTAGCGCCAGAGGCGCTGGAGCTGCTGGTCGTGGAGGTACTGGAGGTGCTGGGGCCGCTGGTCTCGACTGTGCTCGTCCTGGAGGTATTGGAGCTGCTGGAGCTGGAGGTGCTGCAGGAGTTGGAGCCGGAGGCGCTAACGCTGGAGGTAGCAGAGGTGCTGGAGCTGCTGGTCCTGGAGGTGCTGGAGGCGCTGCAGCTGCTGGTTCCAGAGGTCCTCTTACTGGAGGTACCGGAGCTACTGGAGCTGGGGGTGCTGAAGGAGTTGGAGCTGGAGCTGCTGGAGGTACCGGAGCCACTGATCCCGGAGGTGCTCGTACTGGGGAAATTGGAGCTACTGGAGCTGGTGGTGCTGCAGGTGTTGGAGACCTTGGAGCTGGAGACCCCGGGCCTGTAGGCGCTGGCCTTGGGGGTGCTAGTGCTGTTGGTGCTGGTTTTGGAGGCGCTGTGCGGCCGCGACCATACTTCGTTCCACTGCTTCAGCAGGTTCTTGGTCTCCCGTCTTCTACTGACCTTACTCCTCCCCTACTGTGTCCACCGCCTGACCCGTCGCAGCCAAAGTTACAGCCTGCCTCCCCACTGCCTGCTCCTTCCCCTTACACCGAGCAGACATGAGGTCTTAAAGAGCGTCGTGCGCTTGCGTCTCGTCCTGCCTCGCCTGGTCGTCGTGTTCCGCGTCAGCGTCCTCCTCTTGTCCCCGGCACACACCATATGGCACTTTGTCCTTCTTCTGTTCCACAGCGTGTCCCCCTGCCATCTCCTCCTGCGTCCTCTCTTGCTGACAGACTAGACCCCGAGTCTGACTTACTTCGTGCTGCTAGTTCTACTGTCACACGCCTTCTGGCCACTATTGTCACTGACCCTTCGTTTGAGTCCACTGCTGTGTCTGCCCTAGTTGCTGAGCTTGTTGACTTTGCTGCCGCCTGTCGTCTCGACTACGCCGCTAGTCTTGTTGCTGAGTCTGAGTCTGTCTGTCCTCTGTCCGTCAGGGGTGAGTGTGCTCTTGGCACGGACGTCCTTGAGGACAGGCAGGAGGACTTTGAGTGTTTTGCGGCTGCTGTTCCTCATCTCGTGTCCATGCTGATTGCACCTGAGGGAGACCCGGATGCACCAGACATCCTGACCCCGCGCACTTACGTAGAGGCGATTACGGGTCCCTACTCCTCTCAGTGGCAGTTAGCCATGGACGCAAAGATGGCATCCTGCCGATCCGCGCCGCTCTGCTGCACCGCGCCGCCCTGCCCTACTGCGCTACTACTGCTCCTCGTGCTGCTACTGCCGCCATGGCTAGCCCTACTATTCTTACCTTCGATGCTGAGGGTCGTGCGGTAGATTTTGGCGTTTGGGTAGATGACATGCAGCTCTATCTTCAGTGCGACTCTAGGGACGTAGTCTCGCTTTTCGATCGCACGTCCGGCGCCGATGTTGCACCTGATGCCACTACTAGCAGTACGACTCGCTTGCAGTGGACTACTCGTGACGCTGTTGCTCGCCTTGCTGTTCGTATTCACCTGCCGTCTGCTGAGCGCACGCACTGTGGCTAGTACAAGACTGCTAAGTCTCTGTATGACGCTGTCGTTGCGCGCCACTCCTCCCTTGCCACTGCTGCCCTCAGCCGCCTCATGCTGTCGTACTTGTTCCCTGACCTGGCCGCCTTTGCCACAGTCGCTGACCTCATCACTCACCTCCGCACTAGTGACACCCGCTACCGCGCTGCGCTTCCCTCCAAGTTTCGCGCCAAGAACCCCCCCCCTTATGTACATCACCTTCGTCTACCTCGTCACCCGTCTCCCTGACTCTCTTCGCTCAGTCAGGGACCACTTTCTCTCCCTTTGCCCCACCGAGCTCACCGTCGACCTGCTCGAGGAGCGCCTCACTACAGCTGAGACTAGCATAGTCGCTGTAGAAGCTTCTCGCGGCGACCCTCGCGCCCCTTTCTTTGAGGGGTGTTCCCCCGTTCCCCTTTTGCCCTCTGTTGCTTCTTCTGCTGCTATCGACCTCGTTGGCACCGAGGAGGTCGGGGCTGCGTCTGCTCCTAGTGGGAGGCGCCGCAGCGGCAAGGGCAAGGGGGGCAAGGGTGGGGGAGGGGACGGCGGGGGCGGCGGTGGTGGCGGTGGAGGAGGCGGAGGGGGTGGGGGTGAAGGTGGGGGTGGTGGCAGGAGTGGGGGCGTCGGTGGCGGCGGTGGAGGTGGTGGAGGCAGCGGTGGAGGCAGCGGCAGCGGCAGTGGGGGTGGCGGCGGTGGCGGTGCTGGTCAGAGTGGAGCCGCGTAGTGTGGAGGCTTTGGCGGTAGCCAGCGACAGCACCAGACGCGTTCCCGTGAAGCGTCGTCACCCCAGCAACTTTGTGAGTGGTACGCTGGGCGTGGGAGGTCTGGGGGTGCTGGTCCCTGCGCTTACGTTCTCCGCACGGGCGAGCACCGTGGGGAGACGTGCCGGCTGCCACACACGACACAACGCTGTTTCGGTCGCCTGTCTGACGCCTGGCGCGCACAGTTTCCTGACGCCGCTGAGCTCCCTCGCTGGGCTGATCTGCTTAAGTCTGGTGTTGCTATCTTTGATCTTGATTTCGATGCTATCCTTGCTGCCATGTATGCTGTGACTATTAGTGCTGAGGGTGACTGTTACCTATGTGTTCCGCCCGACCCGGTCATTGAGGTTGCTGCGCTAGGTGCTAGTGAGTCTGCTGCTCCAGGTACTAGTGAGTCTGCTCTCTCAGGTACTACGCCTGCTGAGGCCTTGCACATGATTGACTCAGGTGCCTCCCGCTCCTTCTTTCGCGACAGCACCACACTCACGCCGCTCAGTCGGCCGGTTGCAGTCTCCCTGGCGGACCCCTCTGGGGGCCCAGTCCTTGCGCACACCTCTATGGTTCTGCCGTGTCTGGCGGACTTGTCTGGCTCACTATCGGTCTTCACCTCCCCTCGTTCTCTACGATCTTGGTGAGTGGAGCTGACCTCCAGGGCGTGTGGGTTGACCAGTTCACTCCTGGAGGTCAGAGGGTGATCTACTGTACGTGTACTCGGACGGGCCGCCACCTGGCCACGTTCACCCGTCGGCCTGGGTCGAGTCTGTGAGGATCTAGGATCGAGCTCAGAAAAGAGAATGTGAATTGAAGCGAATTGAATGAATCACCTAGGTACAACACGAGGCTATATATAGGCTCGACACAAGGCCCCGTAACCAGGTGTTACGCGAAGGTTCCGCGGGTCGCGAAGCGTCCCGAACAGATCCTTCCCAAATTCTGTAGGAGGCAATTCGGTGGCAACCAAAAAGCCAGAATTCGGTGCACGCAACCTAGCTCGGTGCTATAACTATAATAAAATAAAGGAAAGCACCTAGCCTAGGAAATCAAGCAATTCATGCATGCATATAACCATCCTATGCTAGAAATAGCATAATAAAGTAAAGGCAAGCAAGCATAGCTGGCATAAGCCGTCGTACTCTCACACGTCCCCCCCTCAAAGCTGGGTGGCGTGAGAAACACCCTGCTTGACAAGATAGTCATTGAGAGCACGGCGTGCGTTGCCCATATCAGCTTCTCCAACCCAACTATCCTCAGTGGTGTTGTATCCCTTCCAGCGTATCAGGAACTCAAGGGCCTTGCTGCCACGGCGCCGATGAGAGAGAACGCGCTCGATCTCGTACTCGGGTTCATCCTATATGAGAACAGGTGGTGGTGGCAGTAGCTGCCGTCCCTGGAACTGTTGGTTGGGGTCCTTGTAGAGTTAAAGTAGCTGGACATGGAAAGCATTGTGAAGCTTCCATGTATCTGGTAAGCGCAAGCGCAATGTTACTGGTGTCACCTGTGCCTCAACGAGAAAGGACCACAGAAGCGAGGTCGGAGTTTGGATGGGAGGTGAGACAGGTTCAAGTTGCGCGTGTCAAGAAGCACCTGATCTTTGACTGCTACTGAGTGATCACGTCGCAGACGATCGGCGTACTGCTTCTGAGAGGTCTGCATCGTGGTGAGTCGTCGCTGAGTCTTCTCCCATAGCTGCTGCATGGTGGTGACGAAGTCATGTGCGGCTTGGATGTGTGCCGGTGTGGTAGGCTGCTGTGGTGGGAGTGGTTCCCGTCCATAACACATGAAGAAAGGAGTTTTCCCTGTGGCCACATGTGAGGCGTTGTTGTAAGCGAACTCTAGGGTCGGTAACTGTGTGTCCCAGTGGCTGACGTCGTCCTTGCAAGCTGTGCGTAGTAACTGTTCGACCACTTGATTGAGTCGCTCTGTCTGTCCGTCACTCTGTGGGTGGTATGCTGAAGACATTGCAAGCTTTGTCCACAACAGTCCCATGAGCTCCTTCTAGAACTTACTGGTGAATTTTGGGTCTCTGTCTGAGATGAGTGTAGCAGGGATGCCGTGGATGGTGATGATGCGGTTAAAGAAGAGGCGAATGGTTGCTTCAGCTGTTGCCGTGGCGTTGGTTGGTATGAAGTGACCCATTTTGGAGAACTTATCGATTACTACGAGGATGGAATCGTGCCTCCGTGAGGTCGAAGGAAGTCTCGTCATAAAGTCGAGACTAACGACCTGCCATGGCTGCTCCGGTACGGGTAGAGGCTAAAGTAAACCCGCTTTTTTCTGCTTGCTGCTCTTCATCCGCTGGCACGTGTCGGAAGAGGTGATGAACTGCTGCACGTCTGTTGCCATCCGGGGCCAGTAGTAATACTTTGTTATTCCCGCTAATGTCTTGTTGTTCCCGAAATGTCCCGCGTAAGGTACGTCGTGAAACTCCTCCAATAGGATCTGCCATAGCGAGGCGTAATTCGGTGCCCAAATCTTTCCTGAACCCTTCCTTACCGCTAAGTCTTTCTCCCACTGTAACAACTTTTTACTGAGGTAGGCGATGGGCTGCAAACTGCGTTCGTGATGCTGCATCAGTACTGCTCCGACTGCTTGGTCACTAGCGTCTGCTTCCACCACGTAGTCTCTGCCTGGATCCAGTAGGATGAGTACTGGCGCTGTAGTCAGTGCTGTCTGTTTGTTCAGTGCGCGGTAGTCGATGCACATCCGTAAACTACCGTCTGGCTTTGGAGTGAGGAGAACTGGTGCACCGTAGGGAGAGGTGGATGGGCGGATCAGTTGTCTGTCCAGTAGATACTCTATCTGTTTTTTCATGTCTGTCAGTTCGGTCGGACTCAGTCGGTATGGTGCACGTGAGACGGGTTTCGCACCTGGTTCCTCCACAATCTTGTGCTCGTGGGTGCGTGCCGGAGGTACGCCTGCGGGTAGGTCATTGGGCATTATATCCTTGTACTGCTCCAAGACCTCCTCCTCTGCTGCTGCCATAACCAGTGCTTAGTAACCCGTGTTACTATTGTTTACTGTCCATTTGAACCGTGCCAGTGTCGTTTCAGGAACGCTCCCTGTATCCGTCCAGCTTCGCAGCTCCACTCGTTTCCCGTTGTTGTAGATGCACGTTTTCGGGTTGACCCAGTCGATCTCGGGGTTGAACCGCTTAAGAAAATCTCGCCCCAAGATGAAATCTAATCCCTTGATGTTCGTGATCGGCAGCGTCAGCTTCCACCTCAACGCCCCTATCTGCAGCTGTAGTGTTGACTTGCTGTGGATGGGAAGCTTCGTACCGTCCATCATCGTTGCTGTAAACTGGGTTTCTTCTGAGGATTCTCCAATTTTCTCCAACGTCCCGCGGTCGCACACCGAGTGGGACGCACCACTGTCCACTAGGGCCTGGAGGCGACGCCCGTTGCAGATCACCTCAAGTACTAGTGGTTGCTGCTGCTCCGAGTATCCGTAGATGGTATCGCTTATAGGATCGTAGGGTACGTCGAATATGTTAGCCCTAGGTCCTGCGCTCGAAGATGCAGCTTCAGTACCAGTTTTCAACTGAGAAAGGTTAGAAGGATTTATCCGAGGCCGATTCGGCTTCTCTTGGGCCTGGAACCTTCCACTAAGCCTTTGCAGCTGTGTAGGCTTCATCTGTGGGGAACAGGGAGCCTTTAAACAGTGCTGCTGGGAGAGAATATTAACTCCTCAGAACGCTCGACCCGTATTATCGCTCTGGAGTAGGGTCCCCATAATACCCGAAACCGGTTTAATTTCCGACTCTCCCTTAGTAAAGGCTTGAAACCCACAAGAATTAATATTCTTACTTGTCGGGGTATACGGCTGGAGTTTCCCGGTCGGTGCAGGGTTTTGTTTCGCGGATCCTCCATTAGTCTCGGAGATTTCCCCTGGTGCCGGCTGGTCGTGACGTTTTAAATTTGCGCCACCATATTCTCCTTTTTTGGCCCTCTCTGAAGTTGCCACGTTGTCCGTTTTCTGCTTCGGGGGTGCCGCACTATTCTTGTCCTTCATCTCCGCACACCTTCTCTTCATTTTCCAACACGCCAAGATACGATGTCATGTAGTGCCGCAAAATTTGCACGTCTCATTATTTGCTAGCCGCTGCTCCACATCGCTCTCGTTGTTCTCCATCGGGTCGGCAGTCGTGGGTGGTGCCAATCGCCCCATGCCACTAGTTGGCTTGTTGCGTCGTATTCCGTGGTAGCTACTGTTCAACGTGTCGAACTGTTCGATCAGTGTTGCCGGAAACTACGCCCACTTCCCCTTGCCTTGGACTATTCTATTGTTGATCCACTATAGAGATCGGCCTCGTGACAGTGTTGCTGCGAGCCATATGCGCATTGCGTCTTTTGTCGGGGTCGTGCATCCAACCGATTCGAAGTAAATTTCGAGTTCAGCTACAAATCGACGAACGTCGTTCCTTTTTACTGTAGGATCGAACGCCTCCGGTAGCCTCGGCTTCACTGCTTCGAGGTTAATTGTAGCTGCTTTCGTTGTCGCATGTAGAATTGTCGGTGTTGCCGCTGCTGCTGCTACTACTGTTGTCGTTGCTGCTGTGGCGGTTGCCGACTGGTTCGCAAGGAGTTTTTCGAGTCGTGGGAGCGCCGCATGTATTTGCTTATGCTCAGCACGTAACTCCGCGATTTTCTGTACTGAAATATCTCTTTTTCCCTCCATTTGGTGATTTACAAGAAGATGCGCGACGAAAAAAAAATCAAATTCTAGGTGCTGGTCGACTTACTGCGAGTTAAGTTGACTAAAGGAACGACGAGCGTCAATTCTGTAGGTCGCGCAAATCTCCCTTAAGCGAAATTCGCGTCCGATCTTGGCCGTTGAGAAGAAAATCCATCCGACGCTCCAAGTTCCAACATTTTTGGGCGAAATTCTCTGGGCCGTTGAGATGAAACTCGATCGAACGGTCGAAACTCCAACCCTTCTACCAGTAAATCCGAGGGGGGTTCGAAAACCGAATCGAGAGGGACTTAGAAAAATTGCGCGGAACTGGTTTTACATACCCGTATCGGCGCTTTCGTCGTCGCCCCCGCGGTTTTTTAAAGGCGGAAACTAAGCGGTTGAAGACCTCGCGTGAAAACCCGCTCTGAATACAAAGTGTGCGGATCTAGGATCGAGCTCAGAAAAGAGAATGTGAATTGAATCGAATTGAATGAAACACCTGGGTACAACACGAGGCTATATATAGGCTCAACACAAGGCCCCGTTGTCAGTAGATCTGTACTGTGGATGCCCGATTGATCCTGGAGAGGGTTACAGGCGTGTTCGCCTGGGGGGTTATGGGTTCACTGACCCGCTACTGAAACAAGCCCTTTTATCCCAATGGTCTAGTGGTTGGGATTCTGACATGGTATCAGAGCAGTCTCGGGTTCGATTCCCGGTGTATGCACATGAAGGCCGTTGCCGCTATGCTTAGTCCTGGGCCTCCCAGTGTGGGGGGGTGTCAGTAGATCTGCACTGTGGATGCCCGATTGATCCTGGAGAGGGTTACAGGCGCGTTCGCTTGGGGGGTTATGGGCGCACTGACCCGCTACTGAAACAAGCCCTTTTATCCCAATGGTCTAGTGGTTGGGATTCTGACACCCGTAACCAGGTGTTACGTGGAGGTTCCGCGGGTCGCGAA